CTCATTCCCACCCAATCAATCGAGCGTTGCGAAGGAACTCGCGAGGGCGGAGGCTTTGTCCGGAGGACTGACACAGGGCATCAGCGTCCGTATGGCCCCACAGCTGGTACCTGTACTCAAACTACCCATCAAAACGGGTAATTGCCCGTGAATTCCACTTTTTTATGGGTGGTTTGAGGGTCCAGGTATGTCACTTGATTTTTGGGGTTACACTGTCACCAGTAAGTTTCCGCCCAAACTGCCGAGGAACCAGCAAGCTCCTGACACGCGAGGTGCACCTGCTGAACTTTGGCAAGCATGGCAAGTCCCCAGAGAACCACACCGCAGCCCACGGAAACGGAACCCGAAAACTGGACGCCCCATGGCAATCATTGTGTGGAGGGGGATGCCGGCTTCCCAGGCATGGGTGGACCCTCAGACCCTTCCAAGCGAGAGATCGCCAGCAAATCTGACGATTCAACGTTTCTTTTTGGAAGGGTATAAACGTTGAGGGGCGAAGATTCCATCCCTGTCGGATCGTTGCCAGTGCCAGAAAATCAAAAGTCATAGCGCACGCGCGACTGGGGAGCGAACAAGAAAACTGCAGGTCAGTTGCAGAAATCCGCGCTTCGAATCGGCCGTCAGGCTGTCGGTCAAATAGACGGGGCATCACCGTGATGCTTTTTGCAGCCGGCCTTCAGCGGTTTTCAGCTGAAGCAGCGCATCTCGGAGGCCCAATTTGAGACAACCTAACTCAGTTGGAAATCGCCAGGAAGTTGGCGGGCGGGTCCAAGGCTCTATTGGTTGCCCCAAATGAGCATGAACCCAGCGGGTCATGTTCAAGGGACCCCCCTGGGCATTGCTCCGGAGGCAACCGAATAGAATAAATGGGACCTACGATGGTCATAATGAGAGCGGCATGCCGTCGAGGAATAACAGGATCTGATCCTCGTCTAAGGCTCCTGAGGAATCGGACATCCTCTCGCGATCTGAGATCCGTCCTGCGCGGGGCGCTCAAAATGGTCTTGCTGGACCCTCAAACTAAAGGGAAGTCACCCACCCGCATCTATGAGGTTTGGAAGCCGAAAAGGGAGCTGTGAAACCGACACCCAAAAAGGACCGTCCAGGAACTGAAACGGCTCTTTCGAAGTGAAGCCTTGCGGTTCCCATGAATCATGTTGAAGCCGAGCCGTCCCAAACCGCTTTCAGCCGGATGGGTGCAATCCTCCCCCCGGAAGCTGCATTTGGAGGGCTGACCACGAAAGACGGCCTAAAAATCGAACCGCAACAAGGGTCTCCCCAGCAAGGATACCTCAAGCCCGGAAAAAGGGGACCTTCCAAAAAAAAACGATCCCCCCCCACTCAAAAAGAGACAGCTTAAAAACCAAACCCAGAAAGGCATGCCCCCGAAAAGACCACCCGCGACAAAAGGGATCTCCAGCTCAAAGGGCTCTACTTCAAAAAGCTGGCTCTGCTGCGCGAGGCATCTCAACAATGATTTGCTGCACATCTCAACATACTAGTAGCCTTGCAATAGCATAGCCTTGCTTCACAGCACGCAACCATCTCAACATAGGCTGGCTGCGCAACATGGCTTTGCTGCGCAGAACATTTCCAGATAGCTTTGCTGCACTGCGCATGTCAACAGCCCTTGCTACACTGCTCTGACCTGCACGCGCAGCTCTCAGCTCTGCTTTGCGCATGTGAAAAGCCTGCTCAGTGCAGCCTTGCCCCGCGGAAAGCCTCTCTTCCTCTCTTTTGCGCAACGCAATTTTTCTACAATTGTTCATATTTTTCGCGGGGGTGGGATCAGTGGCCACCGGCGGGGTGAACTCTTTGCGGGGATTGTGCGTGTTGAATCGCTCTCGCGCAACGGCTGCGTGCGAATTTGCAACTCCACAGCCTGGCCAACGAACCAGCGCTCTCGCTTTGCCGCTGTGCGAATTTTCGAGCCGCACAAACACCGAGTTTTTGACAGGCATGAGCGTTTCCTGCATATTTCGGAAAATGTTGGACATTGTTCCTCAGGAGTACCAGGTATGTAGCTGCCTTGCATCGCGAGAGGAACTGCGCAAAGGAATGATTGCCGAAAATTCGCACCGCGCCACAGCGAGAGCGCGCGGTCGAAATGCGCATAAACATCTTAAGAAACTGTTGCGCGAGCCTGCGCCGACGAAAAGACCGGCCCAGAGCGCCCTGCTTTACTCCTATAGAATGCCTTCGGAGGCCTTCGGAGACGGCTCCTGCATTCTCCTCTTCCGATCTTTCAGAGCTGCTCTTTTGTGAGGCCTTGAGTTCTTGGCTTCAAAAAGCCGAACGCGGTAGGGGGGAAAGACGCTCTCTTCTTATAGTAGATGCCCCCCTTCACCTGGAAGATCTTGGGAACCTTCCCGGGGTGCAGCCCCCAAACAAGCAAGCTATGTTCTTTTTTGCGAGGAAGCAAAAAGGAAAAGCGGAACACTCGTCTCTGATCCCAACCTTCAAATATGTTCGATTTTCGTGTGCCTCGAGTTGGGGCTGATGTGTTAGACATTCGCTGGATGGAACGAATGGCCACACTTCAACTCACTGATTTATGGGACTTCAAAACCTCAGATGCTCCGATGGCTCCAGGATTTAAAGATTGACCCTTGTCATTTTGCGCGTCTGTTTCCGAGAGCCGCAGGTCCCAACTTGCCCAAGAACGTTTTCAAAACTGACTCAAGTCCAGGACCTTAGGGATTCTCGTTTTGAGACAAACCCATGAATGTAGATATTGCCTTTCAAGCGGCCTCTGAGTTCTGTAAGGTGAGTTCCGCGACCACTTCGAGCCCATCAGCGTGGCGAACGCTAAAGAATCTCTTCTTTTGACTCATGTTGACTTAATCTCTGTTTATTAACATGAGGGCGTTCCCCTCCAAAAGTCAGAAATCCCCACTAAACCAGGGACGCCTACAACCTGATTATTCTGGGGTCAACATTCATCTTGCAACAAGCCCACAGGGAAACGGACCAATACCTATAACAAAACCCAGTCAACCTGCACCGATAGGAAGTGGCCCACCCAAACCCGATTTCCTTTTTATACTGTTGACGGACAAAATCCTGCACCGCTTTTCCCATGCTTTACGAACACCCTCGCACTCCCCAGTTAAGGATGGACCTTTAAGGTCCCTTGGTTGCAAACATGTTGGAATCGCCGACATCCTGCACCACCTTGAAAAGGGGGAGCGGGGGTGTGCCGCCTGTGCAGTGGCAAAGTGGAGCTGGGCAAGATTTCGTCCGTCAGCCGTAGCATGTCCGTTCTCATGTTCTCCCTTCAACCGTCGCCCGCCAAAACTCTCTCCTCCAAACACGCACTTTGCTTGGGCAGAACTATATTGAAGAACCAGGTTTTCCACGGAATACATCCTGATTTGGCCAGTGGTGTAGGGGGTCCCTTTTAATTGGCCTGCGGTCGCCCTGGCAATGATGTGCTATTCATTGACTCATTCGACGGCACCCAAAAAAAGAGTAACACAGTCTTCCCAAAACTTGACAACAAACCCGAACAGGGGAAAATGCTGAGTTTCTTCAACAAAAACACCTGTTGTCTTTAACCTGCATCGAATGGGGTCTGGTCGCAGCACACTTTCATCAGCTAAGCACCCCACGCTCAGCGCACTCGCAGAAGCTTGCTCGTGCGCCCGCAACCTTGAGACTGAGCATCTCCCTGACCGTAAGTCACTGCCCTGTAGCCACATAAGGAGACTTGGGCAATCTTTCACCCTGGCACACACACACACACACACACATACATATGCTTGAAAGAAGCATTCTATTTAAGGGGAAGCCTTCACTTCCGCCATAAAGAGTCCGCGTGTCAACCAGGAACACTCATAGGATCCAACCCCTCGTTCTGGAAAGTCGGGCCAAAATTAGGCTTCTCCGGGTCTTAGTTTGGGGAACCCTGAGATGGGGGCGGGAGGGCGTTGGGATCAACCCTTTGAACATTGAATCCAACAAATTCAAGCACTAAGTGCCCAGCAGCCGGCAGCATTAGCTTTGGGGTTGAACAAGTACAACTGGGGTGGCTGAAGCGTGAAGGCCGTAAAGGCGGCTATGCAGTGCTCAGCCGGAACCTTGCGCTGCACATGAGTGGGGTTGCTTATCAGTTGGCCGTGTATACTTATGCTGTCTCGACACAATTGCCCCTGTAACTTGAGGCCACACCGCGTTGTTTGAAGGAAGGCCCCAACGCCCCCAGAAGCGACACATGGTAACACCAGCGCGAACACCATGTAGCAGTCCAGGCGGCGCCTGTCTGGATATATTGTACGTAGCATGTGTATATGTATGACAGGACCCTTCCCTCCACGAGCAGTGTGGATCAAATGCCGAAAAATACCTTGGCACAACACTGGGGAACACCATGATTGATATTTTGAAAAGACAGAAATATGATATATTGTTTCCCGGAAAATAAGGCAACGTGACATGTGTGTTTGTTTTGAAAATGAAGGGACAGCAAATGTTGTTCCGTTGCAAGTAGCAAGGAAACAGAAGGAACACGGCATATGTATGTATATATGCATATATGCATTGACAACTGTATAATGTGTGTATATCTGCGTGGAATCACACAGGAACCACAATGGTTCCCTTGAACATAGCCTGGACAAGCAAGTCACATGTGCTGCCTTGAACAAACCGAAGAAACAGTACAACACAGCGAGGACACATAACAATAACTTGCAAAGAGAACACGCAAAGGGGGTCCCTCGAGAAGCAAGCGAAACAAACAATGAACAGAACAACAGAACAAACATTTGCAATGCTCCCCTTGAACATAACTTGACCAACAACACCCAAAGGCTTTTTTTCGGGAGGGGAACAAAACAAAAGGCAACAACAAAAACAACATAAAACCATGGTGGCTCCCTTCATATCTTAGGCCTTCACGCCAGCTGGGTGGCTGTTCCGCACAAAAGTGGATCTGCTGAATGGATCGAACCGCCAAACACCATGATTCAACAAGTCGGCAAAAAAACCTTCTGCCGCCCTGCGCGCGCAACCGCGATTCTTTTTGGATTTCCACCGGTTGTTCGCGCCCGAAACGATCAGCGGCGCTGACCGGTGGCGTTTTTTTGTTCTTCTTTTTTGTGTTTCGCTAAAGTTGCCGGGGCGCGTTGGGTTGGGAAGCCTCGCGAGGATCTTGCTCTGGACCAAGTGCAGCTTCGTGTCCTGCAGCTCGGCCGGGGTCAAGCCTCCCAGGTCAAAGCCGAGTCTTCGAAACAGCCTTCCAGGTGGGTATGGGGCAAAATTAGTCACCACCGGGAATTGGACAGGTTTTGGTCCATGTTTCCACTTACCAGGAGCCTCAAAAACCGATGAAAATGTCATACCTACAAAAAACACGATGTTTTTTTGGAAAACACGATGTTTTCGGGAAACACCGCATTTTCGATTTCAAGCAGTTTCCCATACATTCCTTCAACTCGTCATCCGCTCTCAAAAGATCTCAAAAGCATCATCTCAACCTCAGAATCTCCCATCGCCCTCCCCTTTTGCACTCGCAACGAAATCAGCTTCGCATTCGCCACTCGTCTTTCGCAACTCGAACCTGAAAGAAGGAGGCCGGGGACCCAAATAGTCAAAAGTACAACGGTTTTATGACACTTGTCAAGCAGCAGTGCCATGATGAGGGCGTGCAAGCTCAAGCAAAGACCGTGCTTTTGCTCACGACTTTGTTGTTTTCCAGCAACATTCTCGAATTAGCGCATTCGTGGTTGAACCCGAAAAACCCAAAGAATTTCCACGCTTTGCCACGCTTTACTACGGGCTCTCCACGGTTTAGCTACGGGTTAGAAAACACGATGTTTTCCAAAAACACGATGTTTTCGGTTGGGGCTGCGGGTTTTTTACGGGTTTCTACGGGTTTTCTATGGGTTTCTACGGTTTTTCTACGGGTTTCTGCGGTTAGCCGCCAGGATCCCGCCCCATTTTCTAAAAAACAACTCAAAATTAATAAAAACAGTCACCTGGTCTTGTTTTGCACCAAAAGGAGCTTTCGGATTCCAGCACCCCCTTCAAACTGGTTCGGTATGACCTGGCGCCAGTCTTCAGGTGCCTGTTGCTGTGAAAGGTACTTCAAGACTGAAGCCAGCTGCACACCCTGGCTGTCAGGCTCATCAATGTGGTCCTTAGAATTTGAAGCATACTCAATATAGAGCGTTGCCCTCAGTTGAAATCTTAATGGGTCATGTCTGTGTGAATCCACTCCCGACCCTTGCCTTTGACCCTTTGCTCCAAATGAGTGTTTGGCCTCAGAAGCCCATTTTTAAGGGGTTTTATCAAAAACACGATGTTTTCCTGAAAACACGATGTTTTCAGAAAATCGTGAAAAAACACGATGTTTGAGTCAGGGTACGACATTTTTACAGGTTCTTGAAGCCCTAGGTAGGGTTCCATTTGGGGGTTGCCCTATTTTTGACCACCACGGCCATGGACCAAAGCCGAGTCTGGTTCGAAAGACCCGGCGCATACCTCCCAAGACCCGGCTGGACATACCCCCGCAACCTTGTTGGGGGCCTTGAAGGGAAGTGAGTTTCTTCGGAAAGAATGGAACTGTCCATGAACACCATGAACAATTCACTATACCTGTAGCAGTTTTGAACGAGGGGTTGACATGCTACCCTGAAACAGTGGGTACTTCGAGCTAATTGTCACTCACTATCCCCCCCCCCCCCCCGCAAAAAAGAAGAACAGCAACACACTGTTGGTCCATATTGGTCTTCCCCAAAAAAAACGAGTCTTTGGGGAGAGGGAGTGTGATTCTGGCGGTTTCGCGGCAACCAACAGCTGGATCCGGGCTCTGGGGTACATCCAAATGCCACCTCTGCAAGGATTCGGATGGGTGATGCTTCACCTGCTAAGCGCTGAAGATTGGGTGGATGGCCCAGGGTACCCGAGGCCGAAACCGGGAAGCCTCCTCGGGATCTTGGAGTCTGAGTTGATGGATGGATTAGCCCATGTGGGGAAGGCGCTGTCCGTTGCCGCCGGCGAACACCGAAAAAACAACACGGCGGAGAGACGAGCGAAGCCATTTGGAAGACCCTCGCTGAATGGTAAACCCAGAATACTGATAGTCTGATCAGAATCATGTTCTTACAGGAACCCAGTCAGGTTCCATGTGGATGAAACACCAAAACCAAAGGTAGTGAGAGCAAAGGATGCGTCGAAGGACTTAGGCCTGTAAGTTAAGTGCTTATAACCCCGAAGTTCACCTCAAGTCAACCCGTTGTGCGCTCAGGGTTTCAAGCCGCCCTGCCCCCTAATGTCAAAAAGGATTTACCATTGGTCATTGCTTTTTGTAGACACCAAAAAAGGTGGGTATTGCGTAGGGCGAAGCCGCCGGTTAAAGCCCAAGCCATGACTTGCCCAAATGGACCAGTGCTCGAAGATTTCGGTTCTAGCTGGGGAGCTGTTGGGTGCTGCCGAAGTCATAAACTGGGGTTGTTTCGGTACCAGCCATGGCCAATGTTGGGGGTGACTTTGATGGTAATTTCAGGAGGCCAAACAAGTGCCCTTGGGTTCAGGGGGCCGGGACCCTTTCCATGATCAGTGACCATGGGTAAAGGGAATCCACACGTGCGAAGGGCACTTGCCACGAATGCTATCTTCGGATTGTTCAGAGGAAGCAACCGTTGAACATTGGGCTCACAACTACGGTGTTGCCAAAATACCCCCCCCCCCCTTTGACCCTGGTACCGCCTTGCGCCGCTGGGCAAAGTGAATTCTCAGCCATGGAAAAGCATCATTGCTGTGATAGCGAAGTAAGCCAGCCTTGTGACCGCTTTAACACTTTAAACGAGATCCCCTTAATACAAGGTGAATCCAAAAAGCGATGCTGCGCAACCCGGAAGCATCGATTGAACCTCCAGATTGGGTTGGGACTTCCCTTGAAAGGATTTGGACCTGTCCCAAGATTTGTCTGGAACGGTCCATCGATTTGCAAAACTTGCCTAGATTTGCCTACACATCTCCAGATCTGGTCATATTTTATCACACTTGATTCCATGGATCTGCAACAGGTTGCAGGTCCCTTGCAGTCTAACAGGTGCAATTTCAACCCAAAGGGGAAGAGGCCCAACGGCTTGGCTCTCTAAACTCGAAAATCCGTTTACAACCCCCGAGTTTCGGAAACCACCCCCATGTTCCCCGGAACTTTGAAGCCCCAATTGGAAAAACGGGTACACGTCATGAGTTCCAAAAGGAAGCTCCAGCTCGAGAAATTCGGCTTCACTTCCTGGGGTGATTGCCACTCAATTTGTCAAGGCAAACCAAACACCCTTCCAACTTCCCGGGCTCAAACAGACCACGGACATCGGGTGGAACCTTTGCCTTGGAATCCCTTCCCCCTCTTCCCCCCCACAAATAGCTCAACAAAAAACCTCATACCCAGCTATATCTTGGCCGAAACCTGGCGTGCCCAAAAAAAACGACTTTCAGATTCTCCAAAATCAGTCTACACCAAGATATGAAGCCATTTTGGAGACCCCAGATATGCACAACATGTTTTTGTTAAAGGCGGGATTTGCAATCCCTCCTTCAGTCAGGGAGTCACGCCACGACCCCATGACGCGATCCGCGCCTGAAAGCCCCTCGATCAGGGAGAGGCAAAAGGTCTGGATCTCCATGGGTGGGAGCACATGATTGATATGGGTGCCTTCGCTGGGCCGGGTGCCCGATACGGTGCTCGAAGAGAAAAAAAAGAGAAGAAGAAGTGGGTAGGAATCTGCATTTGGACCCCTTGGTGGACATACACAAAATCGGGGAATCCTGTCCTGAAACCACTTTTCAGGTGGTTGGTCAAAAATGAAACGCCGTGCAAAAAATGGTCCCAGCCAGGGCCAGGGGCCTTTAAAACGCGGGACCCAATGGGTGGGCTTTTGTTTTCACAGGAAACCAGACACACACTTGCACGAGACTTGCAGGCCACAACACGCAGAGCACCGAAAAGAGAAGATGTCTTTCGGGTTGCTTTTGGAATGTTTTTGCGTGAGTTGTGGGCGAGTTTTGGTGGTTTGGGGCAACGCTCCAAAGCCAATCCTAAACGAGACCAAAAGTCACGTAACCACATCGCAAAAGCAACCCTAAAGGCACCAACCCCAAACCCGCCCAACAGCAGCCTGGATGTCAACCCTAACTCCCCTTAACTTAAACAAGCCCCCAGCAACTCCCACTTGCCTCGCCAATTGAGGCTACTAATGCCAGGGATGCGGCAAGCCAGCCAACCAACCCACCAACCAACCAACCAACCAGCCCTATAGGAGAAAAAAACGCCCGAGGAAAAAAAACACCGGATCCCCCTCAAACTACCCACTAAAAATGGGCTGTTGCACCCCAAAATTTATGGTTGGTGATTTCCCCTGTCATGTGCAATTGCTTCGGGTCCAGGTCCCAATTTGCAACCCATGTCCCTCAAACCATAGACTACCATATTTTGAGGCTCGGCACCCGGAATCCCCCCCCACAGTTTTGACACATACCTGGCTGGTGCATTCCCATGTTTGCCGATTTGCTCCTCTTCTTCTTTCTGGTAGAATCGACCAGCCCCCACGAATTTGCTCCCAAACAGCCAGCTAAACATCCATTCTGCTGACGGCTTTCCACATAGCCCGCCTGGGTGAGTCCTGGTAGCCAGAACCAAGTCACACGCGTCCAGCACCTAAGCTCCAAGAGAGGCCCGTGGGCAAACGACTTCGGTTAGCCCTCGATGGTTTGGATCCGGCCGAGCGAAAGCTGAAGCCGGTGCTTAGATGGTGCATTCTCAGGTAACCCATGGTGGCTTGGATTCCTGGTTTGGAATGGTGGGAACTGGATGATTTGAACTTTGAACCCCTGGTTCTTGTGGGTAAATGGATCACCTGGACACCTGGAAGGAAGCTAAACTACAGTATTGCCCATTTGTAAGCGGGATTCTAAAAATACCCTCAAAATGGAAGTTGGAGTGTTTAACGTACTTTGAGGGTCGGCTGCCAATATCAATTGAATGTTTGAAGGGGATCACCTATTGGTTACCCACAATACATGGGGACACAGGATCGCTCGGAGATCCCCAACCAGTCTTTCCGCCTGAAAATCCCCTGTCCCGCAAGATCTTTTTAAACTGGGAGTAAGGGCCCCCGTTCGGCGTACTTCCAGCTAAACCGGCATTGAACTCTTCTTCTGTGCACTTTTCAGGTCCATCCCAGAGGGTCCAATGATGGTTAGGGCCTAGGGTGTACTCACAGAGAGCTAGAACACCATCTCCAGCCTTCGACTGGACCCTCCAAAACGATGGCCGTGTTCGCGATGTTTCATGCAAAGAGCGAGCTGTCAATGTCCCTCGCAGGTGTACCATGGAACAACCGGAGATCTTCGCACTCAAACAGCTCGCGGTTAGCATTTTTAGGGTAAACAAAGGAGAACTTGCTGGAAGATTCCCCAGGCGAAAGCCAACCACAACCCTTCCCATTCTTTCCCAACTTGAACAAGAAACTTTCACCATGAGCTTGCTCTAGCATCCTTGGGTGCATGCTTGGTGCTGGGCGGTACTACCCCTGCATCTTTCCATCTCTCAATCTCTCCCTCTCCCAGCTTTCTCCATCTCCCCACCGCTCCATTTCTCCATCTCCCCATTGCTCCCGCTCTCCACCTCTCCGCATCTACCCAGTCTCTCTCTGTCTGTCTCTGTCGCTGTCCCTGTCCCTGTCTGTGTCTCCGTCTCTGTCTCTGTCTCGGTCTGTCTGGGCGCCGGCAAGTAGCACAATGCTGCTTCTTATTGGGGCATGAGGGAATCCCCCCTATAAGCCATTCCCTGCAATTTCCTTCAAAGGGATCCGTTAACTTTTCGCTCTACCGACATGGTTAAAGAGTTTTACATACTGAGATAGGCCCTGAGATTGTCTCAAAACGTACAGGAAGCCACTGCATGGCTACTTTCCATTGGCTTTCCTGTTAAAACCAACCAAAAGGAATTTAACTGGTCCAGGTTTTTTTTCCACAAACCCTGGCAGGAGTACTGAACCTCCTATTTCGTCCACCTACCTTAAATTTTGGCAAAATCACCCGGCGGTCCCATGGCAAGGTGCGCGGATCCCAGGCATGAAAACCTCGCCCATCGCCACGCCAAAGACCGGAGGCTTCAGGGTGGCAATGGTCTCGGCGACCTGAACGATCCATGCGCGACCAGTGGTTTGTCTGTGATCCAGGTGCCAAGCGCATCCAGTTTGATGTCCAAGCCACAAAGGGATGGGCATTTGATTTCACGGACAGCAGCCCAGGTCGGTGGGAGTCCGACTCCCTGCTTGGCAGTTTGGCCAAGTTCGCAAGTTCGTAGCTTAGGTTATGACCCACTTATATGCGTCCCCCTGGGTGGTGTTAATGCTGACCTACGATTAATCAAATTACAAAAGCATGCTAACTGGCTGCCCCAATCCAATACTAAAGTGACCCTAAATAATGCTAACCGTTTTTCCCAAGTGAAAAAACATGAAAAGATGACAAAACAATATAAATGAATTCAAACAAATAATCTCCCCCCACCTAAATGAATGAATCCTCAGTTCCCCAGCTCACAAAAGAACTCTAGAATTCCCATTGAAATCCATGCAAAATGCAAACCACATTCCCACATCAAAAATAGATCTGATCCCCTTATCCTTATCCATGGTCAAGCTTTCCATTCCACTTGGCTCATCCCAAACTTGATTCTAGATCTGTCCCAAATCCACAAAATTATGGGATCCCTTTCTTTCAAGACTCCTTTAAAAAAACAACACATTGACCCTGGCAGCAAGGGTATCCCCATGAACCCACCAGACCCTGAATAATGCTAAGCAGATTCCCTCTTAAACAAAACTGATCCCTCCTGAAATGCATGCTTTCCTATGCAAATCTTAATGCACTTCATGCAAAAGTTGTTGGCCCAATACTACTTTACATTGGCCCAATTCTAAACTAGTATTCCCCCAAAGCAAAAAATACGAAAAACAACATGCCCAATACTACTTTTGAATTGGCCCAATTCAAAAGTAGTATTCGACAACAAAAAACAGAGCCCAAGACTAAACTCCGTTAAACAAATCCGACCCTGAAAATTCTCCCCCAATCTTTATTTAGGGTCATTCAGGGGGGGCCCATTTATTAATCGTAGGTCAACATTAGCCTTTTGTCTTTTGGGGGGTTGTACCCCAGTTGGCGAACCACTTGCCAACTCGGCCGGGCATCCAAGTAGGTAACCAAGGAAGCCGCCAGTTAAAAACAACATGGGCAATGGTGCGTTACCCAAAAAGGGGAAACTGGGATCCACTGGATATGTGTCAAAAATTGGGGGAGACCCAATTTAGTGTCCCTTGAAACCCAAGCTGATGCAAAGCCTCAACGCAACACAAACCCATAGTTTAAAAACCCTGGTTGTCCATGGTAAATCATCCTGCTTTCTGGGTAGGTCATTGATCCGCGGCTGAGGTGTCTTTTCCCGGCATAGCTCTGGCATTAGCCTAACCCTGGCACAGCCTGGCGTGCGCGAAAGGAGACACTAAGGGACAAAGGTTTGGGGGTGGGTTTAGGGTAGTCCGTTTAGGGTACGTTCAGGTCTGGCATCGTTTAACATCCACGGCATCACCAGGCTTTGGTTGGGGTGGGGTGGCTGTGCTTGAGGTAGATGGTTTAGTGCTGGTTTATGGTGGGGCTTCTTGGGGTTGGTCTTGGGTGGGTGATTTAGGGTGGGCTTAAAATTGGCTTCGGTCGTGGTTGTGTGCAAGTGGGCCTAGGGTGGTTTAAGATAGGGTGCCACGCGCCCTACCCTGCGTTGGGAAAAGGATCTCGGGTAAATGGTTGATAGCCATCCCTTGGCCCAATGTGGTACACACCAAATATGGCCATATTTATCTACAAAGTGAACCCTAAAACATGGATATGTTTTGGGGAAGCCTCGGATCCATGCCACACCCAAATCCTTGGCCGCCTCTGTTTGGCCTGAAAGAGTTGTTGTTTTATGGCCATTGTGGGGGCTCACCCTATTTTCACAACATTTCACAAGCACAAATAAGCCGACCAAGTGGATCCATTTCCCTGTAACGTAGGTAACCAAGGGAACCACACTGAAAAAACCAAAGGGAACATAGGCTGGTTACCTACTACAATGGCTTGTCTCATTGGACGGAGGTTTACATGGCCATGCGTCAAAGTCCCATACCTTATAGTGAACATCCCAATCCCCACTAAAATAGACCAAAATGGGCGGTGCACCTACCCAAAATGGGATCCCACTGCACTGGTTTTGACCCCCAGCCACATGCCCATTTCCAATCCAAAAAGTTCGACGGCGTACACCAAGCCAACGGTCATCGCTTCAGCCTGCAGCCACTGCTCAGCGAGCTCGTCGCGCTCTTCACGCTGGTGCTCGGCCTTGCCTGACACAGGCAGCCCACGCCACACAAAAACATACCCGGACCCTCAAACTACCATAGAGGGAAATCAGCAACCATCATTTTGGGGCAATGACCCATGTTTCTGGGTACTTGGAGGAGACCCGCCAAATCTCAGACGCGAAAATAAACCACTCAAATGGCTGCCAAATAGCTACCGCATCCTGTACCTTACTCTCCCCCGCCTCTTCTGGTGGCAGCACATGCATGGCACAAGGTTTCTGAACAAACCATTCGAAAGCAGATGGCGGGCCCAGTAGAACATTGTCCCCAACTATTTGTCTTAACTCTGCACCTCCGAAAGTCTTAGGGTATGGCTGGGAACCACCATACAAAGCCGCGCGCCCGATTTGGACGCACGTTTGTTGGCTGCTTCTTTGCGACGAAACACGCGAGCGGAAACTGCGGAGACATGCGAAAACGAGCCCTCGAGCGACTTGCCTGAGGCCACATTCACGAACACGGCTTTCACCTCCCAGTTCGAAGCGTGGATCCTGGCGCTCGATCCGCCTAGTCCCTTACCCGAATATCATGGCACCTCTTTGGGCCCTGAGGGGTTGGTCAGGAAAAATATAAACTTTTTGTGGACCACTAAAATGGTCTACCCAAAAAGCTTTAAAGTCCAGGAACGCAGGAAGTGAGTTTCCTTCCAATGGAGATCCTTTGCCCCTCCAATGGAGATCCTCCGATTCGTTTATGCTTAGCGGAAGAAACTGAGTTACAATCAGAACATGCTATGAGTAAACAACCTGAATGCGAACCTCTTGTTTCCGCGAGAGTCGACCAGTTTCCAAGAGCAAGAACTGTTGGTCGGAGGAATGACATCATTTGACATCATACCCCAAAACAAGCGGGCAGTAGGGGTTGGCTGTTTGTGCCTCGAGTTTGCAAAACAACTTCTGCTGGACAATCCGTGCCAAGCACCAGATGGTCGGTGGTCTATCCCAGTAGGTTTTCATCCATTCCAACTCTGGTACCAGCATAGCCATCAGTAGATGTGCCCCCCTGAAAGCAGAAGTGTTCTGCTTCCGTCTAGGAGCCAAAAAAAACAGAAAACCTGGCAGGCAAGCTTCAATTCGCGCCTCTGTCCGTTAGTCCCGTTCCGAATCCAAACCTAAGTCCGAACTTGTCGTTCAATTGCCACGGACTTGCCAAGCATTAAGTCCCAGAACTCCGGGACGTAGGCAGCGAGTACAAAATGTTTGCCTTGGGGCCCTAAAGGAAATAGCGGGACCCTTGTCAAATTAGCAGGTTCTCCTTTGGCTGTGTCGACCTAATACACTGGCAGCCATGCCAGCGCGGAGCCTCTGAGAGTGCGCAAAACGGTGGAAGAGTGCCTACGCAAGCCTACGGGACAACACGCGCGAGTGCCTACGCAGACTATTCTCGAGCGCTACTCTCAAGCCCTGCCTGCGCAGAATTTTCTTGAATAACCTACGCGGTGCCTCCGCGACATCAAAAAAACAGTTCTCCCAAAGAAAGCAAATACTTAGCAAAAACCAGCATGACTTTCCATAAAAGAGATGGTGTCTTTCCTAAAACAAGAACCGCCCCTGGGCCTTATTTCACGATTGCGGCAGAGCATTCAGTCACTGTTAGCCTGCAACGGCGCTCCAAAATGAGAAAGGCGCGTGGAACAAATGGGCAAAAACATGTTACTGCGTCTGTGGGTACAAGAGCGGTTCCTCTTTTTGGCCTCCCAAAGCCAACAATAGACTATCGAGAGTCGGTGACAACTGTGCGCCATGGCCAAAAACCCATTTTTCTGCTTTTTGTATATCCGAGTCAGAGGCAGGCGGTTGGCGTCCTCTGAGGGAATGACTTAGCGGATGAGCCCCACAAATCAGAGTAGCCCATGATGGGCAAGAGACCTGTGCAGCAAAGTCTGATGCGCGCTTTGCAGGCAGCACCCGCCTATCACAGCCTCCACGCGAAGAGCCGACTCACACGCAACATCATGCAAGGCGAATCAACCCCAGGGTGCGCATCCATCAAATTCAATGCTCCTCATTCTGCTCAGAGACGAAACGGGCTTGGTAAAACTATACAATGCAAGTCTTGCGGATTGGAACCGCCAGGAAGTGCAAACCAAAGCCCAGATGCACAGGGCACCAGGCGCTCGGCGCAGCATCAATGCCATGATCTCCCTTCGCATTGCTCCGCACAACTGCCCCTGATACAAGCGGCCCCTCTGACTCGTAACAAAATCTATATCCCACCTGCCTCCATGGTCAGGGAAACGCTCGCAAAGCAGTCAAGATCAGCCTCTGCTTGATGTCCTGCTTGATCGCTCTTGGCATGCGCCAATCCGGCAGCAACGGCAAGTCCGGCAAAGACCATACTATATATACCTTGCTGCTGAGCATGCGCAGCTATAGGCTCCTGCGCCCGCTGACAGCACTGTATCTGCGATACACATTTGAGCACCTGCTGTGACCCACCCGACGAGCACCACCATAACCATCCCCATGACCATGTTGATGAAGGCCATGGCAACCACTTGAGATCGGCTGGCACACAGCCCTGCCAGCTGGTAGGCTCTCGAGCCAGCGCTGGTCAAAACTCCTAGTGTGTGTGTGTGTGTCATAGTCACGGTTCCCTTCGTGGGGATACTTACCACGGTTGTCCAAAGACTCTAAGGGGTTGATGACATGTTGATGACAACCCCTACCCAACACAAGCAAAGGGGCCCTTTGACCACTTTGACCCTGTTAGCGTTGACCCCTCTTCAACTGTTTATCATTTGGAGACACAAGACAGGTGTCAAAACAAAGCACGCAAGGAAACAGCGAAGGGCATCACACGGGGGTAACCCTTTCAAATGAATCTGAAGGTGCCATATTTGGAGACCTCCAGATTCGACATCTATTCAGGTGTCTCCTTTCTTGCATTGGAAACCGAAGCCCGTACCGGCTTCATGTCCCATGAGCCAAACGCATTTTGCCAGAGCCATCCCGTGTCAACAGTGACCTTTACATGTGGTGCCCGCAAACCCACGGGCAGAGTGAAGGGTACCAAGCAGGACATGGACCCCACGTGCCCCTTTCAGACATCCACAAAAAGGGACCTGGCCACCATCGAATTGGGCTATGCACGCTACCAGTGGACCAGACAACCCAGACTATCCTCTTTTTTAATTGGCATCAAGACCAGTTTTTTGACGCCAAGAGGGTTCTCCCCAATATGGGTCCCAACTCCGAACAAGTTACTCAAATAACATAGGAACCTCCAACTCCCCCGGTTATTAGGTTTCCAGCTGCAAAACCCTGCCACACACCAGCGGGTTTTGAGTTTGGAATTACCACCCTTTTTAGGCTTTCTGGGCCCAAAACCCATTGGGGTTCGACCAACACGGCTCTTTCCGTGCCTTGTCAAACCATGTCCACAAATCTGTGGCCCGTTCTTGCGTCAACATGGCTACGCCTGAAGTTGGCTTCGGCTTCGGACTCGTTTTGATTTCCTGACATCAGAGCCCAAACCCCAAGGCCTGGGCAACCCTTGACTGAACACCGAAATGCAAAGTGGATTTGGTCCATCAATGATTTTCGAGCCAGGGCCGGGTACTTTGGGTGCGGATTTATTTTGGGATTTTTTTTCCGTTCTTTTTTTTTTTTTTCCCGTTTTTCGTCCGGGCCAGCAAAGTGTCGTATTTTACAGCATTTTCTCGCGAAATTGACGCATTTCACTAGCTCGTCAACATCCCCAGCATCGTTTTCAACATCCCCCGCATGTCCGACCAACATCCCTAGCATCACCAACAAATGGTCGGTAACAAAATCCAAGAAAAACAGAGCGGGGTAGTGATGATTCTAAATTCTATCACACCCTTTCTTGAATCATTGCACCCCTGCTTGAATCACCACTTCTTCCGACATCATGGGGGCTGCCGCCCCCCCCCAACCCCCCCGCTACGTTTTAGATTTTCTACAAATTCTTCGAACATCATGGGGGGGGCTGCCGCCCCCCCCAACCCCCCCGCTACTTTTTAGACTTTTTGCAGAGATTTAATTGCACCCCTGTTCAAAAGGCAGCGGGAGGGTTGGCGGGGGTGGCTTCCCCTATGATGTTCGAAGAAATGCATACATACAGACATACACGGACTACACAGATTACCTAAAATGTCGTATTTTGCAGCATTTTCTCGCGAAATTGGACGCTCGAAAAAGTGATGATTCAAACAAGGGTGCAATTCAATCTCTGCCGGGCCAGTAAAGTGTCGTATTGTACAGCATGTTCTCGCGAAATTGACGCATTTTACACTAGCCCGTCAACATCCCCCGCATGTCCCGCCAACATCCCTAGCATCACCCACAAATCGTGTGACGGGATCAAAGAAATGATGATTCAAGTAGGAGGGCATGGCATGTCAATCCCTGTAAAAAAAATATAAAAAGCAGCGGGGGGGTTGGGGGCTGCCGCCCACGATGATGTTTGCAGAAGTGATGATTTGAATAGGGGTGCAATTAAATCTCTGCAAAAAGTCTAAAAAGTAGCGGGGGGGTTGGGGGGGGCGGCAGCCCCCCCCATGATGGTCGAAGAATTGATGATTCAACTAGGGGTGCAACCCCCCATGATGTTCGAAGAATTGATGATTCAACTAGGGGTGCAACTAATTAAATCTCTGCAGAAAATCTAAAACGTAGCGGGGGGGTTGGGGGGGGCCGGCAGCCCCCCCCATTGATGTCGGAAAAACGCCACCTGCCGAAGAGGAACTGGGAATGCAGAGGATGCGAAAAGCCGAAAAGCCTAGAAGCCCAGAAGCCGAGAAGCCAAGAAGCCGAAAAGCCAAGAAGCCAAGAAGCCGAGAAGCCAAGAAGCCCAGAAGCCGAGAAGCCGAGAAGCCAAGAAGCCAAGAAGCCGAAAAGCCAAGAAGCCAAGAAGCCGAGAAGCCAAGAAGCCAAGAAGCCAAGAAGCCAAGAAGCCAAGAAGCCAAGAAGCCAAAAGCGAAAAAAATAAAAAATAAAAAAAAAAAAAAAACAAAAAAAAGACATAAAATAAATACCCCTCCCTGAATGACCAGGACAGGGGCTTTGAGCGCAGTGACTCGCTTTCGGTCCTGTCCAAGTCTTCCTCTAGAGCTCGCAGCAACTGCACGTCAGCATCCTGCAAAAGCTCAGATGGGACCATGGTAGCAAAAGCTGTTTGGGGGCCAAAAAATGTGGCTTGAAGGGAAAAAGGGACACCCACCACCGGGTCTCCGATTCTTTTACAACCCAAATGTCCGTCAGTGGTTCCCGATCAGGAACTTGTCCAAAAACTCGAGGTTCAAGCCCCAGTCGGGCCTTTGACCCATGGCCAGTGAGATGACTTGCTGGGCTCTTGGAACTCAGAAACTTCCTAAAGGAGGTTCTCGAAAGATTCTGCACAACCCTTCAAACATATACCTGTGGATCCTCAAACTAACCGACTAAACATGGGAGCTGAATTACTTGGCACATGCCGCAATTGTGGCCCAGCCAGGCACTGGTTGACATCTTCAAATAGCGAACTGCACCTGGCTGGATACCCCCTACAAACAAGACCTAGTTTGTTGGGGCATAATATCAACCCCCAACTAAAGCCAGAGGTGTTTACCACGGAAACCTCGGTTGGTCAAACCATACCAACTAAAAAAGCTGGTATTTGGAGTAAAGGTATGCTAACTGATTCTTGCTGGGGGATACTGGCCGATTCATGCCGCGGAAAACGGGACAAACAGCTGTGAGCACTGTGTGATTTGCTACCATGTGTGTGTGTACATATGGAACCCCAGATGGGCTCGCAAATGGGGTGTCATCCACAAAAGTGAAGGAAACAAGGCAAACCACCTATTAATCAACCAGTGTTTTCTGAATCCGGGGTCAACATTAGCCAGGAATGAAGTTCCTAGATGTCAAACATTTGAAGTGACTAGGTAACTGCGGAGCAGAGATTGATTTGGCATGTGTCTTGCAGAGCCTCACAGATTGAATTGCGTTTTCCTTGCAATCCATGTCCAAACTCTCGGACGGCTGTAAATAACTTACCCAAACGAGCCACCTACATGGCTACTTGATCACTTCATTCCGCGGATTCCGGGATTCCCTTGGTGACCTGTCAACTGGTGCAAGGTGGACTTTGTTCATGCGGCGCATCCAGTGTCCCGTGAGCAGCATTCTGAAACCCTCTTTCCCACATGGACGCGTGCCCCGTCCGAATCGCGATGATGGCGTCATTGAGAACCCTCACTGTCTAACTCCCCCCCCCCAACACTCCCGCAGACCAGGGAACCCAAAAGCCTGTCCTTTTTACAGGAACCTCCTTCTGGGGGTCTGTGTGGGTTCCATAGTTTGCAGGGGAGTGCTTTAGGTGGAGAGCATGACCATACCGCCAAGCAAAAAAGAGGCTTTGACCAACGCAAATAATGCGGGCCCGTTCGAATGTTTTGCAGGCTTCGGACAAGACCACACACCCAAAATTCAGCTTCACCGCTGACTACTTTGAGGGTCCAGCTAATTCACACGCTGCCCCCCCCCTTTTTGGCCCGGCAGTGCTCCTGGTCTACTCGCAGCACACACGCCATGGGAAGCGACCGCATATCAAAGCGGTTCACACCATGGACTGCGTTCGGTTGAACGATGCAACTGGCAATGTACCGCAAATCTGGCTGCATCTTGGAGCCGGACATATCTGAGAAAATGTGCTGTCTTTGGGGGAAACAATAAAGCTTTGGAGCTATTTAGCACGTGATTCGAGCAAAATAACCTCGGCCAAGTCTCGGTCAATGTTGAAACAGGAGAACTGTTTGTGGGTTCAATGGAAAACCCTTGATTTGCCAAAAAGCTAAAGTCTAAAGGTCCAACCCAGTAGCAATCAGGCGACCTACCTGTCTATGGAAGCCGAAAGGGCTAAGTCGACGGCAGTTCGAACATGCGTTCCGGAGCGATCCTTTTGAGGCATCCGAGCGGTTTCATTCGGCGGGAATCTTCTTCCCGATGAAACATGGTGAGCACACATTTGACATGTTGGGGATTTTGATCCAGCAAACACTGGTGAGTTTTGTTCTTTTGGCTTCCCTTCTAAACACCCGAAAAAAGGGTACACACCTCAAATAATTCGCCATTTGGAAAAACATTGGATCTTCTTTGGGGGGAGGGAGGGGGTAGTCGATTTGGAGTCTGGCGACAAGTGATGGTTGATTAATCCTTAATTGTTGTCCCAGCTAATCGAGTAATCCCTTCCCCATCAATACATCCACCCCTATTATGAAATAGTGTTCATTTCAATTCACTCAGCACGTCCCTTCCTTTAATAAACTCAAATTGTAAATTGTAATCTTAGCTTTGCAAAACAAACATATTATAGTGTAAATACTGTCGTTTAATTGTAATATTTTTAGTTGTAATCTAGAATCTGAATTGACAAAACCCAGAAACCTGAGCAATTTCATGTGAATTCCTTGCAGGCAAACTTAATGGGACGCCCTGGGACCGCATAAACATGTCTTCGCAAAGAGAATTTGGTCTGTCCTCTTTTTTGGGTACCGCTTTTGTTTTAGGGGGGAGTTAAAGCGAAACCAAAAGGAAAACCACCATTCTGGTGAGTACCCTAAACAAGACACACCCATTTAGGGGGAGGGGGGAGGGACGGGATTTAATCGAAGTTAAACCGATTAGAACTATGGCAAGGCGGTGCAGGCTTCGCTCGCACAAGTTGTCTCAAGTCCTCGAATCCGGCCAGCTCCGGTACAAAATAATGTTGACCCCATATGAGTCAACATCAAAACCTGGTACAACAATGGTTGACCCAGAACCATGTAAAAAAATAGACTGCCCCTTACTAACCTTCATCCACCCAGGTTTTGATTGTGGCTCATATTAATCAACCCCAGTTTATTGATAGTGGAGTGTCTCTGGTTCTAGTGGGGAATCTTTAATTGCTTTTGGAGGGGAACACTCCCCTATGAGCTGGGGTTGATGAATATGGGGTCAACACTGTCCTTGTTGAGGAATACGGGCAACTGGCCCCAGATGGACATGTGCAGTCTTTGCAACATGCAACACACAAGTGCACGAACACTTGTTCCAGTGGCACGGAGACAAGGTGAGCCAAAATCGAAGTCTGGCAATACAAGGGTCTATGTACCCAAAACCAATGGTGCATTACTCAAGCGCCATATGTATATATATATATATATACACATGGTTGGGACTGTCCGTTACTCAACTTCCACCCGGGCTCTGACGTGGTTCAGCTACTGTAGGGCGACTGAGTTTGGGCCCTGCCCACATGGAACCCCAAAAAGGGTTCCGTACTTCACATGGCTGTGGGTCAAAAATAGGTTCCCAAAATGGAACCCTGGTAAATGGAACCAAAGACTAAAACATGCGGTCCCCTGGTGGTTTTATTTTGACCCATACCCACATGGGGATTCCTTGCAGCGGCTTTGGGGGTTCCATGTTCTGCGCGGGAGAACCTGCGGGGCAATCGTTGGGCCTCGAGAACCCCCTGCCAAATCTCCCTGTGGATGAGGGGGAGCTAGATGTTTGGTATTCCAAAGCTTCACAGGGTGGGGGAGCACTGGCGGTCTGGGAGGTTGCCAAGCACATAGCTCATTTGACGCAGGGGCTTGTGCTTCAAGCTCACCTTCAGAAAATGAGCCGTCATTACGTGAGTTACCGCAGGACACGGGGAAAATTGGGACACGTGCAGCTGGAAGTGTTCAGATCCAAAAACTTTGACCAAGGCGGTTCCCATTCAAACAGGGGTCACCGGACTTTTTCAGCACCGGTTGCAATTTTCAGGTGGAAGCTATGGATTGTTTTGCTCTTCTGGAGGTTCCAAAAAGGTGCATGGAGAAACTCCCCTCAAATATCGGGGTTTCTCCTGTCGGCGCTGATTCTGAAACGTCCACGCGGGCTGCCAACTCAGCGCCTCAATGTCCGTCAGGGAGCTGGAGAAGTGCTTGAGCCGGCGTGGTGACTGTGCCTATCAGATCGAAGAGCCGCTGGCAGGTTCCAGAGTCACACCCAGGTGGCGCGCTGAGGCTCTGAGGTGCATCCTTGGGGTCGCACTGTGGCCCTTGGATAGGAATGGGGTTGTGGACAATCAAAACTGCCTCATGATCATGGCGGAGCAGTGTTTCTATTGTTGGTTGGTCCCTTAACCCAATCCCGGCCCTCTGAACATGAGGGGCGTGAGGAGATCGTCTTGCCGAAGCGACATGTCTGCGGCGCTTTCTGTCAGGCCCGTACGGTTTCAGCGACCTGAATGGTACCACGAACGAATCAAACGGGTTTGAGTGGCGGGCAAAAGGCTTGAATCTTCGTTGCCAAGTGAGTTGTCCTGGAAACCCTTCGGTTGTCACCCACTTAGAAGTGCCCTGAGTGGGGTTGACAACTTGTTAGGGGGGGTCAAACACTCCAATTGGCTAGCTACAGAGATTAACTTGGCCAAAGATCCAAGTAGTGACAATTTGCTCTGCAAATGTGCCCGAAATGTCTTCCTTTTCAAATGGAAAACAACGGAAGCCCGCCCTTCCGGGAAAGGACAGGAACTCGGGCTTGAGCTTATATCCCTCAGCCCTTGTCCAGAAGCTACAAAACTTGTTTCTTTTCGGATCCACGTATATCCCCTCTTTCAAATTATGGTTTTCCTGCCGCAAAAGCACAGGGCTTGCAATTGAAAGACCCGGAACTCCTGGAACAGGACTTGGGTTCTAAGAAACTTCTTCGGTGCAAGCGATCGGAACCGATTTGTTTCTTAGAACCCGCTGAAACCCCTGGAACCTTGGCGCTGATTCACCCGAAAATCACTGAGTTGAGTAGAAAGGTGTCAAGCACCCACCACTTACCACACATGCTATAGGCACATTGCATGTCGCCATGGAACGTGAATCGCATGATCTGAACAAACCTAAGGTTGATGCATTCTTGGCCGGCCCTAGGGCCCTAGGGCCGGCCCTATGGCCCTAGGGCCCTACATCCTCCATATCTGCCCCGATCGGACCGGCCTTGTTCTTGCCCCGGATGATGGAATCCACCGCGGATTCCTGCAACCTGCCGATTCGGAGCGAGTCATGAAACGAGAAAAACAAAAACACAACACAAGAACTCCCGCAAAACAAAAAGGCTCTCAAACGCTTTGAGTAAGCTCTATCCCCAGCCAGTACTTCAAGAATGAGTCCCCCACCCAATTTGTTGTCTGACCGTGCACTAAGACCACTAGGCTGTGTGAGTTTGGGGGATGGCATGATCTTACGGCCAGGAACTGGTCCTTGGACACCCAAACTCGTTACCTCACATGGCAAGATTCCTGAGCGATACAAACACCTGTGGTGACTTGCAACCATTCACCGCATCGTCTGAGCAAAGGATTGAAAAGCATGGGGACTCCCAAGGTGGCCTTTTGACTTGGCAAGCCACTTTTTGTGGCCTGGGTTCCTCCCAGTTCTATTTCCCTTGGTTGCTCACTATAATTCCAAAGGTTAATTAATTCTCCACTCTCTCATCCATCCTTCTCTATAGAAACCACCCGTATTCCCACTTTTAAAGAGAATGAGGAAGGCTATGATAATAGCCCTGGGTTAGGAAGCAACATGTTAAACCTCGAAGCCCTACCAGCACGTCATATGTTCAAACCCGCGCAAAAACCGCCGATTTGTGAAGGTACTTCCGCATTTCAAAAACAGAGCAGTACTCAGCCAAAGCTACCGCGTTTTCCTATACAAAAACCCGAGCACATTATACAGACTCTTTGAAGCACCACTCAGGTGCTACTGAGGCCTTATTCGCAAAACGGTGCCTCCTTTTTTGCCGCATAAGGGTTAGTGCCAAAATGGGAGGATTGCCCAGTTCCACTGGGCAGCTCCCCTCAGCAGCTGATGGGAGTAGGATTGATGCCACTCCCACAGCGAGGGAGAAATCCTCCCACCTCACCGGATGCCCTCCCGGCATCATGGGTGAGGAAGGAAAGTAGCGAAGATCAGTGTGATCAATTCGCTCTCGACTGAGGGGAAGACCCGGTTCTCAGTCGGGAATTGCGGGTCCGGATGAGTAAGCTCATCCGCCCACGTGTTGAAGTCGCGTTTCACATGCGACGGCCCCAACATGACCTGCTGGTCATGCAGCGTGAGCACAATTTCCATGAGGATGGCCGCATTGGGCATCCTACGAGTGGAATCGTTAAGAAGGGAGAAAACATTTCCCTGGTTATCACTAGCCACCAGGATCCTAGTGTGAGAAGCCGAGCCGGCTGCACAAAGCAGAACGGCCCTCACCAAAAGGAGGAGGCCGAAGAGCTCCAAGGCCGCTATCGCCCGCTGCGGGTCCCCAGTAGTGAAGGCCCACGGCTCGCCCTCCGGTGTGATTCTGTGCTGGAACCACTTAACACGGGACTTGTCGGGGTTGGGCACGTCCGAGCACCAACCACCCACCCATGCATGGTCCGCCTGTCTGCCAGCTCCCGCATCAGATGCCCCCGTCCATGGGAGTGTGGGAGCAAATGGGGATGCCAGTGGGAACCTCTGGTTGAAGAGTCTCCCCAAAAGTATGGCCAGAGCACGAACCAGCTTCGGTGGCCTGCCCGAAGTGGTGCAGGCCTTCTTCCAGCTCCAAAAAGGCTGGAGGAAA